CTTTGAGTAGAGGTAACTACAAGACCATAATACATAATTAATTTCAATCGTTGCAATAAGTACGACTTCTATACATCTCTTTTTCCTCTTTTGTATCTCTTTCAATGCTTAAGCATATGAGGTGGGTTTCGTCGAACGCTGAGGTATGCTCAGCCGCTCCAGAGTCCAGCAAAGGTCCCACTAACCCCCACCAAATAAAACACAATGATTTGTGTATTAAGTGGAACACACCCACACACACACGCGGCTATCTATAATGCCCGCAACTTTTCGTGCGGGGGAGAGAGGAAGGTAAAGAGAGGGAGTCGGCAGTCAGTGTCGGAGATTATTCGGCGGGTAATTGTACGGCGCCGGGAGTGCTACTGGGACAGCAAGATTGGCAGTGGTACGCGTCAGTCGTAGTGAAGAGCGTGGCAATGAGAGCAGTCGCGGCGTTTGTGACGGCGACTGCGACGGCTGCCTGCAGGTGGTGGCGGCCTCAGCGGTGACGTTGGCATTGGCCCAGGTAATGATGAGGGCGGCGGCGACCTCCCGCAGAAGTGTTGTATGTGGCCCTGATTGTGGCGAGGGAGAGTGCCGCCCCTTTTTACTACGACGGTGACAGCGGCCCTGGATTACCGTACTCGTTACGGGTAGTAACGGCGGCCTGGGGCGACGATAATTGCGGCGGCCCCAGTGATGAAGACAGTACCAGCGGGCCCTGGTTGGCGATGGTTAGCGTTGGTAGTCCTCGGTGATGATGGTGGGCGGCCCACGGTTGCAGCTTCGGCCTTGGGCGGCAGTAGTAGTGGCGGCCCCGGTGATGAGCAGCGGTACGGGCCCTAGCGTTGGTGATGTTTATTGCGGTGGCCCTGGACGACAGTGAGTACGAATCGCAGTTCCCTGTGTTGCTGGCGGGCGGTCCTCGGTAGAGGTGTCGCCCTTGGGGTGGTGTTTGCGAAATTTGTACGCGCTTGCCATGCCAGCTTCGTGTATACGTATGTATGTACATAGGGGTATGTATGTATGTATGTTTATATAGTTGTACCTATGTGCAGTTGTAAGGCGCATGCTAGGGTGATGTTAAATATATTATTGTAGCGTAGGCAAAGCTACGTTACAGTTCCCCTCCCACTTCGGCGGACGACAAGTTGTGGCATTCTTCACCAGAGTACACTGTACACTGGCTCGGTCGGTATGTGTGTGGGAGGATCTTATTTTTTTTGTTTATCAAGTTTTTTTTTGTGTTATACAAATACATGTTTTCTTATTCCTTAAAATATTTCGAAAATCAGTTCGTAGGTTTTGATATAACTATAACTAGGTAGTGAAATGCAAATTTACTTCTACAATGATTGGAAAAATGTTATATAATGAATATGTACTTTTTTTTTTTTTTTGTATTATTCAAGTTATCTTAAGCTTAATTGATTTCAAAAATAAATTCCCAAATTTCTCCTTGAAGGAAAGAGGTGTTGTTTGTCTAATACGTGAATTCGATAACCTTGGTTATTTCTCGGAACGGACGGTGGCGTGGCTCGCGTCTATTTGTATGGCGCATGCGGTACATCTTACAACGGAATCACCATCGCTCTCGGGTATTTTGGATCGTCTCAACCGCAGATTTTTTTGAATGGATCAGCTGTGTCCCTGTTGGCCGGCTCCTCATTCTCTGTAGCCGGGCCCGCATCCGGTAATGGTTGGGTGACCCTTGGTTCGGCGGCGGTCTCCCGGGCTGAGTTGGTGGTTGCTGCTGCTTGATTGGTGGTGTTGGCGGCTGTTGTCGCTGCCTCGGCTGTGTGGTCCGATTTGGCGAACAGCTGGGCGTGTTGCTTGGGCACAACGTGGGCGAGCGGTGGGCCGTGAAATATTTTAGCGCTAAGGATCCGCGGTTTGTTTGGTGGTCATGGCACGGCCTCAAATGGCGGTCGCCATGGTGAAATCGACCGTGGTTCGTCCGGTGGGATAGGTTGTCACCAACGGCGTTTACGGATGGATGTGGCTGTCTCGGTATCACCTGCTGCATGGCAGGATTGCGTGGGTAATGGCGTTGTTGTAGTGGTCGATGATGCCGGAGTGTGATTTCGCGTTCAACGGTGGTGCTTGGCCCGTACTATTGGAAAATCGCGCTTTGTGGATTCCAAAGGAATCGGCCAGTCTTTTGTTTTGCTTTTCTTTCAGGTGCGTCCTTTCGGTTAAGCTGCACAGAACATCTGTAGCATCGGCTCTCGGCGGTGGGGCGGGAGCTAGGGGCTGGTTATCAAGTATCACGACAATGCCTCGTTGCGCCAAAAAGTCCATTCCCAATATTATTCTTTTGGCCAGATTGGGGATGACGACAACCAGTGTGCTTGTTGCTCGGCCATTATATTAAATTTTGACGGGATAGGAACGCGTACTTGCGACGCACGTTTGGTCTGCTAGTTGCACGTTTTGTTTGTCGGATCGTGGCTGAATATTGCACTGCTCCAGATGCTTGCGTAGGTATTCATTGATGTATGTTAACGTGGTTCCAGTGTCTATTAGGGCTCGGACATCCATGCCTTCGACTAGGACGTTCGCATAGAAGTGGGACCTTGCCAGCCTGGTCGAGACGTGGGTGGTGGATTGGCGTGTGACTTGATTGTGGCTGTTTTATCCTTGCGACACAGGCAATTCCTGGAGAGGATACCATCTCGTCCGCATCGAGAGCAGAATAGTCGCCTTGTACCTCTACACTGAAAACGGTGGTGTCCGCGCATTTTGCATCTCCAGCAGGTGTTTTTCGCATCGTATCGTTCGTGTGGAGTGGATAAGCAGCGTACTGCTTGCCTGGTTTGCCTTGTCTCCTCGCTTTTGAGTAGCTCATATTCGTATGTGAGCTCCATCAACTCTTCGATAGTCTGGAACTCGCTCCGCTTTATGAATAGTCGGTACTCCACTCAAAAGCCTTCGTAGATGCGCTCCAAGTGGTTTTTGTTACACATAGTTGGGTGCTGTCGGATTAGCGTTTGGAGGGCGAGGATGTAGTCCTTGGCCTTTTCTCGGTTTAGCTGTTTCCGCTGGCGAATGGCGTCTTCCAACTGACTTACTTGTCGACGCGGAAGAAAGAATCGTTCAACTTCGTCGCGAAATACGGCCCAGGTGGTTATGTGTGGTCTTTGGATGCGGAACCATTGGAGTGCTTTGCCGCGGAGTATTTCGGATAGGGTTGGGAAGAGTTGGTCTGGCGTGATTTGGTAGCATTCCGCCAGCTCCTCAATCCTCTCCAAGAAGTCATGCAGAGTGTCGCCGCCGGAATAGTGTACGTCCCAATTGCGGACCTTGCTCATTACCTCGGCATGCTCATATGATCTCGTTTCTGGGCGGTTGGTTTTGCCCCCCGGCGTCCAAGAGAGATTCGCCAAGCTTAATTGCAGGAGTTAGTTCGTGTGGTGGTTTCGCCATGCTAGCTTCATCTCCAGTCCTCTGAGAAGGTTTTTGGTCGATTTGCGGTTTCTCTTCGCCCTAACGAAGTTACTGAGAGTGCTGCGCAGATCAGTGACGGTGCTCCCTTCAACGAGTATATGATGCCTCTTGCATTCTTCCACCAATCTCTCTTTCTTCAAGAAATATATCCAGAGAAAAGAGAGTCAAAGTTTAGTGTGGTGGTATCATTTTCGCTCATCCGTGTGTCATTTACTGGTTGTGGTGTGTTCGATGAGCCCGCTTCCGCAGTGTTGGTGCTTGTTGAGGTTTTTGCACATGCGCCTGTAGAGCGGTGTTCCTGCTCGCGCGCCATTTATGAGGTGGGTTTTTTCAAAGGCTGAGGTATGCCCAGCCGCTCCAGAGTCCAGCGAAGGTGCCACTAACCCCCACCAAATAAAACACAATGATTTGTGTATTAAGTCGAACACACCCGCACACACACACGCGGCTATCTAGAATGCCGGAAACTTGTCGTGCAGGGGAGAGAGGAAGGTAAAGAGAGAGAGTCGGCAGTCGGTGGAGGAGATTTTTCGGCGGGTAATTGTACGGCGCCGGGAGCGCTACTGGGACAGCAAGATTGGCACTGGTATGTGTCAGTCGTAGTGAAGAGCGTGGCAATGAGAGCAGTCACGGCGGTTGTGACGGCGACTGCGACGGCTGCCTGCAGTTCCCTTACAGTGGTGATGGCGGCCTCAGCGGTGACGTTGGCAGTGGCCCAGGTAATGATGAGGGCGGCAGCGACCTCCCGCAGTGGTGTTGTATGTGGCCCTGATTGGGGCGAGGGAGAGTGCGGCCCCTTTTTACTACGACGGTGACAGCGGGCCTGGACGGCGATGCTTGACGTTCGCAGTAGCGATTACCGTACTCATGACGGCTAGTAACGGCGGCCTGGGGCAACGATAATTGCGGCGGCCCCAGTGATGAAGACAGTAGCATTGGTCCCTAATGGTGGTGACAGCGGCCCTGGTTGGCGATGGTTAGCGTTGGTAGTCCTCGGTGATGATGGTGGGCGGCCCACGGTTGCAGCTTCGGCTTCGGGCGGCAGTAGTAGTAGCGGCCCCGGTGATGAGCAGTGGTACGGGCCCTAGCGGTGGTGATGATTATTGCGGCGGCCCAGGACGACAGTGAGTACGAATCGCGGTTCCTTGTTTTGCTGGTGGGCGGTCCTCGGTAGAGGCGTCGGCCTTGGGGCGGCAGCCGTAGTAGCGGCCCCTGTTGAAGTAACTGCGTGTATCGAACAGTTGCAGGGCTAGGCTTTAAATCAAATTTATTCAAATTGAATGTCATTTCATTACATTTACTCTTACGAAGTTCGGTTTCATCAGTAGGGGTGCCGGTAGGAGCACGAGATTCTGCAATCTGTTGTTGTGTCTGAAGATTATTCGAAGTTGGAGTCTGATTTCCTGGTAACTGACTGACAGGTAACTGCATATGTTCAAAATTCTCATGCGCGTGTGTGTCGTCGAGGTCAGTAGTGCCTCTAGTTTTAAGCTGATTTCTGTGACGCTTTAAACAGCCGTTAGGTGTCTGTACCAAACATATCATTTTACCTAGGTGTCGTGCAATGATACCTTTTATCCACATCCACATGATAGCGCAGATATGGTATGAACAGTGGTAGTAGTTGTCATTTGTACAATAAATGGAAATTGTGAAAATGCATCGACGCAGATGAGCCACATAGAATTAAAAACAGGTCCAGCAGAATCTATGTGCACTCTTTCCCATGGGCGATTAGTGTCAGGCCAACTTTCGTACTGGCGTGCGGGTGCAGGATTTACAACCTTACATATGTCGCAATTGCTACACATTTCGACAATATCTTTGTCCATGTTGACCCACCAGATATTTCGCCTCGCTAATTGTTTCATTTTAGTTACACCCCAGTGTCCATCATGTAACAATCGAAGAATTTGACCGCAGAGAGAAGCGGGAATGATGACACGATTATACTCCGTTTGGAGGCAAGGTAAATTACTTTTGATGGTTAAGGCAAATCTGTGGTTGAAAAATGGTCGTAGATCCGCATCTTGTGGACTTAATTTTTCAGGCCATCCACGCTGTACATAGGAGCAGACCCGTTTTAGGACTTTATCGTTTTCGGCGTGTCTACAAATAATTTCAGCGTTAATTGGTGTGTATAATTCACGTACATTATAGCGTGCTTCTTCGTCATCGAAATTTTTGTCGTAGCCTAGTGGTAAACGCGATAAAGCGTCGGCGTTACCATGTTCAGTAGTTTTCCTATACTTTACGACATATTGATAGGCCATAAGTATGATGGCCCAGCGTTGCAACCGATGTGATGTCATCACTGGAAGCTGGTGGCTTTGGTTAAAAATGCTTACAAGCGGCTTGTGGTCTGTGACCAAGGTCAATTCCCTTCCATATAGGTATTGGTGGAAACGCTTGACTCCGAAAACAATAGCTAACCCTTCTTTCTCGATTTGGCTGTATCGCACCTGATGCTTGTCGAGGGTCTTAGAAGCAAACGCGATTGGTCTCTCACTACCATCAGCAAATACCGTATGAAGAAGCATCTGTAGCAAGGGCCAATGGCAACCCCTCCTGATAATGCGCCAATTGCGTCGCATTGACTATATGCGACTTAAGGGCATTAAAAGCTTGCTGCTGAGAAGACCCCCAAGTAAATTTAACATTTTTTCGGCGCAGCATATTAAGAGGGGCCGATAACTGGGAATAATTGGGTATAAAATTATTATAATAATTTACCTTTCCCATGAAAGCTTCTACTTACTTGAGGTTGGTGGGCGGTGGAAGATTTTGGGCCGCTTTAACGCCCGATTCGTCCGGCAATACGCCCTGAGCACTAATTTTGCGCCCGAGGTATTCAATCTGCTCTTGCAAAAAAAAAAAACACTTTTCACGTTTGCACCTTATACCATTTTCGTGTAAAATGTTTAAAACTTGTTCCAAACGGCTGACATGTTCCGAAAATGTTGGCGCTGTGATGATAATATCATCGAGATAATTTCCGCAACCTTCCACACCATGCAATAGGTTTTCGAGGTATTTTTGGAATATAGCTGGAGCACTTGCTATTCCGTAGGGCAGACGTTGGTATTGGAACAATCCAAGTGGCGTGTTAATTACCATAATTTCTTTAGAATCATCATCGAGCTCCATCTGTAGGTACGCGTCCTTCAGGTCGATTTTAGAAAAATGCTGTCCGCAACGAATTGTGTGCAAAAGACCCCCGCGCGTTGGCATTGGGTAACGCTCCATATCAATTTGGGCATTGACAGCTAATTTAAAGTCTCCACAAATTCTCAATAAGCCGTCTGATTTCGGTGCTAACACAATGGGAGAAAATTTCACGGCCTTTAAAATACCGGCACTTGTGAGTCGATCAAGCTCTTTTTTAAATTGTGGCATTTGAGCAAAGGGGATTTGGCGGCTTTAATAAAATCTGGGGCGCGCATTTGGCTTTAAAAATACACTAGCTTTAAAGTTTTTTATTGTACCTAGCGCAGGCTGAAAAACCTCGCAATATTTGTCACATACCTTTTGAACCACATTTGTTTCATTTGTACCGAACGCTTTAAACAAGTCGAACCCAAATAAATTATTGCCATGTTCAACATCAACTACAATTATTGGAACACTGTCTTCTTTCTTGCCGCATTTTACTTTAACAAAAAGTTCACCAATCACTGGAATTCGCTTTTGGCCAAACCAAATAATACTCTTGAACACTTTCGCAACTCCGGGCGATTTAGCTGATTGTACGTAGTCTTATTTATTATTGAAATAGTTGCACCCGGGTCCATTTGAAATAGCACAATTTTGTTTAAGATTTCCAGGTTGATATAATTTTTATAATTTGCAGTTGTTATTATCCCCGTCACGCTGTAAATCGTTTCTATCGCATCAACGTTATCACTTTTGTTTTTACGATGGTAGTCTTTATTTTTTTTTCTCTCCTTACTTTCGTCATTTTTGCTTTGTTTTGCCATACATACTGGGGAAATATGACCTACTTTGTTACACTTATGGCATACGGAATTTCTAAATTTACAGTTTTCTCTTTTATGTGTATGTCCACAGCCCGAACACGATTTGAATTTTGTTTTATCATTGTCGATGTTGTTTCTGTAGGTCTTTTTTAATTTTGTATTGACAGCGTTCACTGGACATGGTTTTTCCGGCACTTGTTCTTTTAGTGTAGCCACAGTTTTTGTTGTTGCTTCATACGACTCCGCTATGATTAAGACGTCGACAAGACTGGGCTGCAGCTTCTGCAACGCAGCAGAGCGTACAGGATCATGCGGGGTGTGTGTTAAAATTTGGTCACGAATCATGTCGTCTACGAAACTGTGCATACAATTTTCGGTAGAACACACGAATTGACAATCTCGCGCTAAGCCGCGCAAATCGGCTATCCACTCCCTGTATGTCTGTTGCGGCTTCATTTCGCTTTTGAAAAATTTGTAGCCTGCAGCGACTGTATATCGCTTCGACTGGAAATGCTCAGTTAATTTGTCAGTTATTTGCTTAAACGATTGTTCTTGTAATTGCGCACTACCGAAAAGGTTTTTTAGCAAGTCGAATATTTCAGTGCCAATCCATGATAGGAAAAATGATTTTTGTTTTTCCGCAGAGAGAACCGAATACGCTACAAAATGTTCATTTAACTGTTCTAAGTATGAATTCCAAGATTGTTGCTCTTTATTAAAACTATGAAAACATTGCACTATCACTTGGTGATCACTGGACGAACTACTTTCTCGCTGTTTAGGGATAGATTGCATAAACTCTTGTTGCTGTAATAGCATCATTTTTGTAAACTCTTGTTGATCTTTCAACATTTTTTCAAACACTTCACTTCCGCCCGGCATGATTTTAGTTTTTTACAAACATATGAAAAAATATAGTTTGATTTACGGCACGAAAGTAACAAAGGCGCGCAAGATTAAAAGCCACGGCCTAACACAATTATGTCTGTGTGCCAATTTTTATTATTTTTTCTCTCGTCACCAGATTAAGTAACTGCGAGTACCGAACAGTTGCAGGGCTAGGCTTTAACTCAACTTTATTCAAATTGAATGTCATTTCATTACAGGGTTGTATTATAATCTACTTAATCTAATTTTACGCATAGTTGCATTAAAAAGTATTTTATTTTAAAGTCTTCGAAAATAAGGGTGATTTAAATTTGTATTCAATATATAACACCTGTGATAAAAGCAGCGGTACGGGCCCTAGCGGTGGGGATGATTATTGCGGCGGCCCTTGCTGACAGCGAGTACAAATAGCAGTCCTCGGCAAAGCTTGCGGGCGGTTCTCGGTAGCGATCTCGGCCTTAGGGCGGCAGCGGTGCTGGCAGTCCAGATTGGTGACCTACGGACAACTGATCATTAGTGCGGCCCCCCATGGTGTCGAAAGGTTGCCCAGTCCCCCCGTATGTATTCGTGGCCGAAATGCGCTGCAGGGGGTGATTCGCCCCCTTCAACGGCCGCTAACCGCGCGGTATCGTAAGCAGGCAGGGGTGCTCGGAATTGGGCAAGCCCAAACGGGTTACGCCCCCTGTCTGCTTGAGACCGTGTCCAAAAACGGGTCTAGCCCTTAATGGTTTCGGAGTGTTGCATGAGGGATATTCCCCCCCTTGCAGTCCCCTTCAAATAGGTCAGTCTTCCTCTGAGGAGGAAAGCCAAGAGCGCCCCAAATAGGCCCGAAGCCCCGGATTCGCTCCGCGCTTACCTACGGACAACTGATGCTGGTTGAGTTCATGTTGGCAGCTTTAGCTCCGGCTTTGTATGGGCTGTTTGAGAAGTGAAGGGCTTATTCCGCATTTTATGTTTTGCGTAACGAATTTCGTCCTATGTTAGTGCGCATGGTTGTCTAAGTTGGTGTTTGCGAAATTTGTACGCGCTTGCCATGCCAGCTTCGTGTATACGTATGTATGTAAATAGGGGTATGTATGTATGTATGTTTATATAGTTGTACCTATGTGCACCCTGTAGGGAAACCCCGTACTGGTGAACCAAATTTGTAGTCCCGTACTAGATCTTTATCGTCAAAAACGAACCAGTCCGATAGTAACTAGGTCGCCACCAGTTCAAAAGCAGCGCTATGTGGTACTTTTAAAAAACAATTTTAGAAATCTATATCTAAAATGACGAATTTAGAACTGGTTCAAAACTATAGAAAAAGGGATGTAGAACGAACTAGATCTCATATGGCGAACTTTGAGCTAGTTCGAAACTACTGAAAAAGGGATGCAGCGGGGGCTTGTTTACTTTAAATAGATTTTTGCTTGGCGGGTTTTTCGTTCAAATACGCTACCAGTCTGCACGTCGCAGATGCTTTTTCATAGTTTGGTAATACAAAACTAATATTTGTGTTAACATCTTAAGATTATGGGGCCCTCTGGAATATAACCAATAACAGTCAGCACCTCTGCAAATTCAGCTACAGCCAAAGGTATGTAAACGTGTTTTCAAATGCACAATTTAATTTACATTAATTCAAACAAATTTGATTTCAGATTGAAAATACATTCCCCTGCAAATAATAAAAAACATCTTGTTACTTTTTTCGTTTACAACTGGTTCGAAACTATAGAAAATGGGGTGCAAAGCGAACTAGATCCCATATGTCGAATTTAGGACTGGTTCTGAACTATAGAAAAGGTAATGCAGCGGGGGACGATTTCCAATTCCTATGACATCGCTGTGTTAAATTTGCCAGTTGCTTGCATGCAAAAGAAATTTATCGTGAACTAGTAGTGGTTCTAAATGTACTAGGAGTGCACCAGTTCAAAACTAGAGATTTTCCCCACAGGGCAGTTGTAAGGCGCATGCTTGGGTGATGTTGAATATGTTATTGTAGCGTAGGTAAAGCTACGTTACAAGCATATCTATATAAATTATTTTATTCTTAAATTAATATTTGTCTCTAGTATCTGTGTTAGTGCTAAGATCAATTTAGTTTAATTTTATTCACTGTAATATGTAGTACGATTTCAAGTTAAGTTGATGTACTTTAGTAGATTCATAAATATCTTACTTGTACAACCAGTTTTATGTTTAAATAAAACATTGAATACGGAAGTAATAATACTGTCGTAATTACATAAACAATTAATCGCTGCACTGGAGCATTCCATGTGAACTTCTAAATCGCCAATACCTAAGTAGAGCGGCCATTCAGTAAAAACATGATCCTCATTTGCACGCATATTTTGGGTCAACTTATGAGTTTTAATCTGTCGCCATAAAGGTGATCGTTTAACTGAACTTTCAACGATGACCGTCCTACTGCCATGTCTAACGACAGATAACACTTGACG